AAGACTCTAAATAGTGCAATCACCAAACATCTTGATACAGGACATCAGGTCGATACCCTACAATCATTCAAGGTGATTAGTAAGCAGCCAAACTCCAGTCTTCTGAAGTTTGCTGAAGCAGTTGCTATCAGGCGCCAAAAGCCTGATTTATGTGTTCAAAAGGAGATGGTTATTAATCTTTCCTTGCCTTGGTGATTAATATTCCTTCGTTATATCTTAATAATTTTTTTCTTTTTCTTTAAACTCTATCTTGCATTTATTACACCATTGAGTTTTATTCCAACTATCTTATTTTATCAACTGAACTCTACTCATTTTATTCCTATCAAGGTTTATTTGTTTCTAACCGTTTGAACTGTTGTCACAATGTTCTTTCATCACATAAGGTATATATTTACAATATTCAGTCTATTAAATTTATTTACACCCTTGCTATACTATATGAATATGTCATTAATATAACTTCCAATCAAACTCTTTTATGTAAGTAATTTAAACCCATTAATTATGATTTTAAATATCACAGTTTGTAAGCAGCTGACGAGAACCAACGAAATAAAAATGAATTCATGCTATTCTGCTAGAATGTTTGTTCTTGATCTTTTCAAAATGATAAAGGGAACTATGTGTATGAAATCTTTTATATCAAGAAACTTTCACTCCTAATATTTTTTTCTGGCAGCAGTGTCCATTTTAATCAGAATTTATAGTGAAACAAGTTTTTCGCTAGCATATTTCCATACATCTGGTGCACAAATTATTACACTTGTAAATAGAAATATATCTCTTACAAAACACAAATTTTTTACCATCCCGTATTTCACCTCATAATTTACGCAAAATTATTCAGAGTAAAAAAATGTAGGATGCCTAAATTGGTTGGATGTTTCCCTTGCTAATTTTGAAATCTAGGTGATAACTTCTTCTAAACACTCAAACTCGTTTGGAGAAAACATGATAAACTTGCATATTATTTCATTTCATATATCTAACTTTAATGGGAAACTGTGAACTAAATAGGAAGAAGAATCAGACAGTACGAGTTGATTCAAATTGAAAAATCGAAATCCTCAAGCATTTACAACTACTAATTTCTGACGTTTTTAATACTAGGAAGAAAAACTACACATTTCCATGGATCAATTGCAAAGTCAGTGACCTCATAAATTAGTGTTAAGTCTAGGTTTTGCTATACTTAGCCTCTTTCCAGTCTATCACCCTTCTAAGTTTAAGATTACTTGACAAGTAATTAATCAAAGTAACATAAGGGTAGTTAGATCTATAATAAAACTTAATTTATTGACGACTATCTAATAAACCAGTGGGACATATAGGCTTCCTTACTAGTATCTCTAAAATAATGGAAAAACCGTATCGAAGTTTTGGTTGCTGTGATCTCATTCATTCCCATATAACATATATAACACTAAAAGTATTACTTTCAGCCAGTGACAAGGATGTGTGAGACTTTAAAACATAACAAACAAGTCCCGTATTCTTACTTTTGTAATAACTACAAAATCCCCTTGGTACCTTAGCGCAATCTTAATTATTGCAAAAGACGGATCTCAACCGTCAACCAATATCCAAGTCAGAAACTTCAAGACACTTCTACCGTACGGAGCTGAAACTTTGAGAACTACTACAACCATCATCAAGAAGGTGCAAGTTTTTATAGATAGCTATCTACGCAAGATATTCAAAATCCATTGGCCGGATACCATCAGCAACAACTTTCTGTGAGAGAGGACAAACCAGCTTTCAGCTGAGGAGGAAATTAGGAAGAGACGATGGAAATTGATAGCACATATATTACAGAAATCACCAAACCGCATCACGAGACATGCCCTAACTTGCAATCCTAAAGGGTAGAGGAAAAGAGGAAGGTCGAAGAATACATTACGTCGCGAGATAGAAGCAGATATGAAAAGGATGAATAACAACAGGAAAGAGTATGAAAGAATTGCCCAGGCAGGGTTGGGTGGAGAGTGCTGGTGTGCGGCCTATATTCCTCCACGAGAAGTAATAGCCCCAAGAATGGAACTTGAAACGACTTTAATCTGGTAGAAATTAAAGGTCTAAGCTAGGAGACCCTATTACATATCAGTAGACAGACTACGAGGCTTTTCTGTTCAGAAGGAGTCGTATTTATTTTTTAAAGCAGTTAATCCATAGGTGATTTGAATTGTCTACATGAATTAAGTTATTGACTAATTTTTTTCCCCTAATACTGAACAGTTCAACGTATTCAGACCTGACATAACTCAGAGTATCTTTAATAAAGCTGTTGATCAGTTCGTAGATTTTATTCCTGATGGGTAGCTAAGCAATCATCTGAAGCCTTACTTATTTCTGTCTCAAGCAGAAAGTTATATTCAGCCAAACAGTATAAATACTTTGTTTCAGTGAATACATATCCGAAATAAATAATCTTCTTATCAAAATCTTGTGGGGTAATATACTGTATTTCTTAGGTATTTATTATTGTGATACTTGTTTTGTGCAGGAACTAAGGTATCATATCTCTTGACTACATTTGCGGATGCTGAACTCCAGAGTACCTTCCATCTCCTATTCCGCTCAAGTTCATGAGGCCAAAAATTAGGATAGATGCAAATACGAGAGGACGGTTGTGGGTGAGTGAATTGTCCTACCAAAAACCATCGTCTATTTTGTCATTTTAACAACCTACAAATATATATGAGCTAAAGAGTATCAATCAGCTTCCGATAATAGAGCTATCCTCATTTTCTTCCTCTTTATTGTTGGTTGATCAGGTATTATGAGAGCACATTGGTGACCAAATAGAATAGCAAAAGATAAGGACCCAGTTTTAATGTCAGTGTTAACTCACGACTGGCTACCTACCACATGCGGCACCAAAATCTTTACTAATTAATATATGCTACCATTTAATTGAAGTTTAAAATACTGCATTTTGCCCGCACGGTAATAATTCTCTGAGATGTATTCGTTATTTTCGTTGGTAATTATTTCGTCAGGCCTAACGATGCATTCTAGTAGTTGAAAGTCGACTCATATAGGTAAACAACTGCCAGTAAGCACAGCGCGGATTATCCTAGAATAATATTTCAGCCGAGGTTATTTATCAGCATTCAACGGATATGACATCATCCAAAATCCGAGTTTAACGTTCTCTAGATATTTCATGCCATGGTTAAAAGACTATGACACAAGTCTGCCTTTCTTCAAGATCATAAATTTCCCTTCATGACGTAGAATATTACAGATTCTTGTTACCCCTCCCTGAGGCACTGGCTTTAAAAATAACAGGGTTATCCAACAAATGACTATTTCTCACAATATCCAAAATATATAACTCCGGTAAGAGTGAAGATGCCACAGGTATTCGGAGTTTTACAACGCTTTACCCAGTAACACCTAATATGAAGCATACCCACCAAGTGAAATCAAAAGACAGAAGCGAGGAGGTTAGAAGATATATTTGATAGACTATCAATATATCGAGGATCGTCTGATCTAATCTGGCTAGCGATTGCAGGGGTTGTTGAGCACGGCGTTCCCACTCGTGATCTGGTGCGGATGCATGACCGGGCGCCTACAGCTAGGTGAGTCCATTAAAACTAATGTGGTCAGTATCCAATGTCGAAAACTCAGAGAGCTATTTATTTTGGGAATTTATTTACCGCTACAAGAGCATACTACGCTGATCTTAAGCGATTTATCTGAGAGTATGTAAACGCTGCCTGATTATTTAACAATTAATAACACGGAGCAATGAAATAACATTTTTGATCTGAATAATTGATTAGCACATGTCAAAATATCCCTTGTAGAAAAGAAATTTTTTAGTCTACACATATACCAAGTGTCGGGATAGTGTGAGTTAAGGTACTCTACCAATAGAGTTTTCATCACTAACTGATATTAGATATAATGTAGAAAGGTTAGGATTAGTTACTAGAAGACTATAATTTATGAACGACCGTTGAGCGAGGTCCAAGTGACTTTGAGACAAATACCCTATTTTCTAGGGTAAGACAAGAATCTAGAGCTCACATGAAAGTAATGAAGTCTAAGCATAATCTACAGAGCTCAACTGTACGTTTACAAATTGACTAGTGAAGCGAATACCTGGAGTAATACCATCCCCTTAAAAGGAGGCTCACAAAAGCACTTTAAGAAAGGCTGGCTTTGCCACTGGAACTCGTCAGAAATTTCATCTAATTTTTGACTTATTTTCTGATAGCCATATTTAAGTGAGTGGTCACTCAACACTCATGTGACCTATCCGAAAACCTTAAGTAACTAAGTCTCAAGAACAACCTAATTATTCTTTTCCTTTGGCATAAATGCTTGATTCAAGCTCACAGCACCTAAAATGGATACAAGAGGAAGAGTATCGACTGATTAAACCGCTCGACAAGTAGCAAACTTACCAAAAACATTTTTATATTTTCATCAGAACCTAATAACGATTGAATAAACAATTTCTTCAAGCACTTACTACAATAAAAAACTTGTGGAAAGGCAACACGAAGTATGTTATATTGAGTACTCGTCTCTAGATCCCATTGGTATTTTATGTGGTGCTAAACCCCATGCCCCTATGCTTCCAAAACGAGTCCTCACTTCATCCAGTAAATAGAATTTTAGAAAACAGCCCCTAAGGAAATACAGCATGCAGTGTTAAGGTCTACATACTATTTTTAGGCAGTTAGTTTATTGACCAAACAATCTCTCGAATAAAATTAATGTGCAGACTGGGCATAGTGATAATTGGTTAAATTTCAGGCCTGTCTGTGCAGTTATCGTAAAACCAATCAGCTTGCCGCAAAGGCCACAGCTAATACAAATAAGATTTTGATTTGATGAAATTAATGTGTGGGCGAGATACGCTTCTACATATAGTATTCTCCGATCTCAAGGCTACTGACAAAGTTTCCACTTCAAGTGACTTGGTGTTTTTGCTTGGTGGCGCGGTGTTTGGTCGATTATCTTATTGCTTTATTTGAACAATGTCCGAAGAGTGGAAAAAACGGTGTGAAAACCATGTAGATGAACACAAAAGCTTGAAACATTTACATATAACGGATCACCAGGGAACTCCCTACGGCTCATCTAGTCCTGATTTCCAAGTAAGTCCACCTTGTTTTATTTTTAAGTAGAATGTCTACACTGCTTACACCACTGATAAAAATAATTCTTTAGCAAACACCGGTCGACAATAATAGTGGCGACCCATCTAATTCACGATTAGACATTTTGATATTAGTATGATCTCATTCCATGCACCAGTCCTCATTTACAGTTATCATGAACCCACCAAAATGTTCGTCGTGGACCTTCTTAATTTGTACTCTGAATTCGGTCACTGTGAATCTAGCAAATCCTCGGATTTCGTAGGAGCTCAAGCTAATATTAGAGAAAATTCGTGTTTCATTAAAGGATTATCTGAGGAAATTCCCAATAATCTTTCACAAAAGATTGTTACATCATATAGGGGATTTACTAAGGATTTAGTGTTTTGATCACAGTGCTCAGACTATCTTGTCAACGTCGGCACGTCCTCACATAGTGTGGGGCCAGATAATGTATTCATGTCTACAAGTCCCTAGATTGCGTCCATTAGATATGTCGAGGCGCTCCGATCTAGACGAACAGTAATGCCTATGTTTGTGATTTTCGGTCATGTAAGTATCAGGAAGGTTTATAGTTTTGCATTGGTGAATTCGTTTAGGAGTCGATAATTAGTCAAGACTACTATTTGAGCGTTGGTGACGATACAAAACCTAACAACTGATGTGTTCTGTGCAGTCTGACTGTCTGTCCAGGTTTATAGCGAACCCTCTGTTGATGAAATCGCTCGAAGAAGAAGGTGTCTGTGTTAGGCACGATACTTGGGTAAGAATTTCCGTGCTTAGTATGTGTGATTATGTTTATTATATTTCGTCTTCTGTAGTTTGTGTAAAGTCGCTTCATCGCACCACGCGTCACTACGTGCTAAAGGAAGGCTCGTACTTGCTGACTATTTGAAGCTGTATGTTGGTCCAAAAATACCTTTATTCAGTAAATAATCAATAGGAGACCTATTGTACTTGTGTTTTGGTGTGGTAAAATTGACGTGAGCTAAGCTATAAGGTAAAACAATTCCTTCGATTTATCAAAACCCCGTATCAATTTACACTATTGAGTGATTTGAGTCAATAATATTTGTAACTAGAATTCTGGTTAAATGTAACTTATGTTCAATGGGCGTATTTGAAGTTTATATTACAAGAACCAAGTCGAATACCGTGTATCTTAAGATGTATTATACAATGATTTGTGCCTGTTATTCCATTTGTATTAGTATGAACTATTATTTAGTAATTTCCCTTAATCGGTTTCTTGTTCTTCAGCTATCTCCCGAGTTTGTGCTTCAGCTCAAATCATTACTTACTGATGACAAAGACACCTCTTTTACGTTCATGAATGAAAAGTACATCATCATAAGACGCGATCCGACTAGTTTTATCAGCAGATGTCTCAAGAAGTCAATTTTATTCCATATCACACCAAAACGTTAGTCTCATTCCATGTACATTTGTTACTTGGACTTTTTATCTTTTATTTATCTTGACCAATAGGTCAAGATGATTAGTTATCTGATTAAACGCCATTTTATGATAATTCTTGGTAAATGACGAAATGATTCACTTATATGTCGATAAAATAGTGTAACACATTTTCCAAGCGAAGGTTAATATACTGTACTTGAAATCATTTTGTGAAGACGAATCATACTGCTCGATTTTGAAACCATATTTGGAAGGGGGGATTCGATATGCTTCATAGCGACTAAAAGTTAAGTGTTTCAACCACTCATTGAGTAAATGTAGGCACAATACGTCTTGGTGTTTATTGGTAAATGTCGGATCATATTTTGAATTATAAATGAACTTTGTTGAAGTAGTTCTATTGTAGTTTAACTAAGCGTTTCCAAGGAAAACTCGCGTCAGAACGTTCGCAATTTGATTGAAAAGTATATTTTTTACTAAGCGGTTTGCTCATCTATAACCTTTGTTGTTGGACCTCGGTTTTTTATCGTAATTATTTGTAGTAATCTCAATGTTTTCTAACGTAGACGTGTGCCGTAATCTAAAACTGTATATAGTGAATGGACGACCTTGTGCAAGTAGTAACGTGCTTTAATTAGTCTCCCGATTATAAGCAGATATGTGTTCCATTTCATTTTGGGGTCGTATTGATGTACAACATATTACAGTTCGGACTGAATTTAACCAGTGATACGAAGCAGTTGATATCAGTCTCGCTATTCAAAGTGTCTATTTGTGTCTTATCATTTCAGAGTACTTGCAAAACTGGCACGACTTCTGTTTGGTATGGGATAAGCGGAGAAGACTGGTGTCATATGCGAACCACTGCATCAGTAGTGCCAGAGTTCTGTCTATTGACAATTAGTTGAGGTACAGTATGACGTCAGTTGCGCTGCCTAGCACGGAGGTTATGTGGGACTCAATCATGTAAAGTCGACCATATTTTTATGATAATATGAAATGTAGGGTTAAGACGAAACTTCCAATGTAAAACGACTTCTATATTCGGGTTATTTGGTCGTAGCATTTAATAGAAATTAGTTTTGCTGTAGGTACGGTAGACCTTATCTACATTTAATTTAGTTAGCTCGCCACCCGATCATTGTCCAGTAATTTACATCCTACCATTAATTGTGCAAACAAATATTTTATTCATTTTTATTTATTTTACAATATTTGCATATAAGTGACTGTTTTATTTACTCAAATAATTCAGTCGGCCAGCGGTTCTGTCTTTTGATGTTCATTCAGTTGCGATTTGAGGACTCAAAAAGTCAAAGTGGATAAAATCAACAGGATGGATTCCGTGAGTATTGTCTATTCAGCCATCTGTCTTCAGTGTTCATTCGATCTGCGTTCGTTCTCAATCAAAATGAAGGTTGTTACAGGTTTGTAAATTGGCCGTATCCTGCACCCATTTTGTGAGGGATATTACTGTAAATTTTTTGGTTAGTCTTTTGCTAAACAACTCAAGTATTGCTCATCAGGAATACTGTCCTATTCTGACTTCTTGCTGCATACTTCTCAAATGCATTCATACAGTAATTACTAATGCATTTATTGTTCTAAACATTTTATTTTCAGTTTGCTTGGTTGGACAGACTGTCGACGATATTCTAAATAATTGCAATCCAGGAAACCATGCAATGAGCTGTATTTGCGATTATTACAAGAAATATAATTACTAATTAACTTTGCGTACGATGCAATACATCGTTCTCCTGATGTATTTGATTGATACACCAATAAATAATGCCCATGTATTAACCCTTGCTTGTTTCCATTTTTGGACTATTCATTTTTGTCTGTAGGGTTTTATCTAATTCGATTTAAGGTTTAGTGCTGCTACCACCAACTTATAGCACAGGTGTTTGTGTTTGCTCAGATCACCATTTTCCATGTTTTAAAAAATGAATGTTTACTAGATTGTAATTTAAGTGCTATAGCTTCCTTTCTAAAATCCAATGGAGTGTGTTTCGTCTGTAAAGATTTTTGATACTTCAATATTTTGAAAGTTCTTATGCATTATCATTAGCTTGCTTGTTTTCATGAATTGGTTTCATATATTTACCAAAATTTTAAATCGCTAAACTATCGCCACTACCTTAATAAGGGAACTGTATTTTGTTATAATTGGATTATTAAATCAACGCCTTTGCTACAAAACTTGTTTTCATTCCAGTCGGAATCGTCTTACGTTGGGTTGCTTCCACCTTACTACAGGTGTGTTTTAGATATGCCTCGAAATCGTACTTCCGTTGCTACTATCAAATCCACCCATGATTTGTTCCCGTAATTCCTTACTGGTACCAGGCGTGAGTATGAGCCGCGCATCGTGACCATTACATGTGCTAATAATGTATGGAGTTGTAGTCTAATATGGTTGGTCTCATTTTGTTTCAAAACTACAAGAATGCTCACTGGCTGTATTTATTACCCTATGTCGTACAGTCGTTTTTCAGAGATAGAAAAATGGAATAGTTAGGAGCTAAAAATTGTATATGGTGACCAATTGCCGCGATATTGAAGTCACCCAGTTTTTCCCGCTACTTGGTTTACATGTGTCAATACTAGGAATATATTCACCAGCTTTGTGTATCTCGTAAATTGGCTTCATCTATCGTAATCCAGGTAATAGTGTCCTACTAGTTTCCACGGACCATCGGGCCTCTTTCGAGTTTGTTGATATAATAATGCATGACAAGTATTTATGCGAAGTTGGAACTTCTAGTCTCCACGCTAGGTGTCGGCACTCATTTCCCATTACACCTTTATCCTGACATCCAAAAGCGGCTCTCTTATGGTCTGAGTAAATAAGTAGTGTACAACTTGTACTACGATATTTGCGTATAGGAGAATTGATCAGTGAGACCGTAGATCCATAAATATCGTAAACAATGTGAGACGGTATTCCACTATTCAAAGTGGTGAGTGGCTAAACGAGATCACATGTAATGAAACAATTACACCTACCGTATATTTGCCAACATCTGGGTTAAAGAATATAGCATCTAGGAGATAAGAGGCAGTCGTTGTAAGGCCGGGTACACGCGGAACCTTTTGAGGGCGATTCACACCACATGGGTCTTTCAGGTGGAGGTTGTGCTATAGTGGTCTAAATCATTTATCTTCGGTTAGCGTCGTTTTACTTTACCAACTGTGCTGCAAGGTGGATGTTATAAGAGATGCAGAACTCGTGTTTTACGGACCTTCGTTCCCAGTGGGCAATTGTGTTGCGAGGATGTCCTCAGTTTTTCGGATCGTATGGTTTTGTTTACGATTATATTACGTGTTAACTAGGAAAATTGGTTTCAAAGCACCTTTCAGGTTACAATTTAAGACAGTTGATCTACAATATGTTTCCCCAGGAAATGTTTTGAGGGCGTTTACTACTGAGGAGTTACGCAGTTGGTCGGGCTCAGTAAGTCTCAGAGTTTTTTAAGTCTGGTATCCGTTTCGTTTAAAATCAGTAATAAGTGCTGCAGAGTGACGTCTTACCCTTCGTTTACTTGTCTGGACATCATTGTGAGTCTCATTTTAAGACTGATCGGAACCACAAACATAAGCTGCGTAAGAGAACTTCCATATTATGAGGAAATTAAGGCAATTGTCTATGAACAAGTGAGGTGGGATAGTTGTTCACTCTACTTAATAGTTTCTCAGTTTGTATTGAAATATCATTGGTAAATGGGAAAGTTAAAATGATAATGATCAACAGTATTTCATCTAATAATGAAGTTGTTTGAAGAATCACTATCTGAAGTCCTAGAAATCATTACTATTGATCGTTTTCGAAATCGAATTCTCTACAGTTATGTCCAAGCTGTAATCTACACGTAATTGATAGTATCAATGGAGAGTAGTCGCATTACACTACGTATTTACTAGGTAACAAAAATATCAATATAATTCAATGATTCATTAATTTTATGCGACTTACTTTTTGTTAGTTCAAACTAAAAAAGTGAACACTTCAGTGTTAATTAGTTGGAAACTGTGATGATACGGATGTTCAGCGTTTCGTTTCTTACTAATCCATCAATTACATCAGCTCTCAATTGAAACTAGTTTCATATTAGATCAGTTCCTATCATTCAATAACTTTCTAACACCTTTATCTTACCACTTCTATGTTTGTTCGTATGTAAGAACAAGTACACTTAATTTCTTTACTATATAATCAGTGTCTAAAATTCTGGATGTGTATTTACGTATGTATCAGATGATATGTTCTGCAAAGTAATGACATTTATTATTATCTCTATGAACGTGAAGATAAGTTTCATTAATCAATCAAGATGGAACTCTGATCTCTATAGACTTCAATCTAGTACATGCCCCTACTTTGCTTATATCTCATGGAGATAATTTATTCCCTTACTTAACGTCAGCCAATTGTCTTATCTATAGTACACATATTAGAAAAATGTTCAATGTGCACTTTACTGAACCGCTGTATCGTTTTACAGTTGTTTTTTTCAGTTTGTTATACATTCCCGAAAATAACTGACATTTCGACTTTCATGGGTAGTCGGACGATTATTGAATGTCAGTGGAATCTGCCATCAAATTATGTAAGAATCCGTAGTCCATTAACCTGAACTGCTTTTAGACATATGTATTCTCGATCCAGATATATAGTTTTTCAGAAACCTCCATCTAATGAATAAATGTAGCTACACTTTGAGTCCATTTTGTACAATAGCATTCCCATATTTTAAGCTCGATGTCTACTCCCAACCATAGTTTCCTAATCTGTCGTGCAGGTGAAGATTATGAGATGATAAACACAATGATGTGTCTTTGAAGAATAAGCTGCAAGGAATTTTTGTACTGTTAATTTAATCTAATGACCGAGCATTTGATGATTTTCGCTTCGTACTATAGAAAATATTTGATTCAGGACTAACGTATACTAACTCTTGTTTTGGAAAAATCAGCTGATGCTTAAGAACTTTGTGTAACTAAAGCTCTGTGAACCGTAAGGGGAGCACCTTTAGAAATAGGGACGAAACCAACAAATAATATAGGACATTATTACCTTATGCAATCGCTTAAGTTAACACACTGCACAAGCAACGCATCAAGTGGGAATCTAAGAGTTAGAAACAAATAAATCGAATATGATGATATCACAAAATGAGCGAGAAGTCTGCAAGACTGGGAAATCCGAGGAATGTATTATTCTTACTGAATGATCATAATCAGTGTGTTTGGAAACCTTTAAGATACTCGAGAGTTGACATATCACACTCTGCCTGCTGCCCATCCAGTGTCACTGCTGGTCCAAAACCCGCGTATAAAAGGAAGGTTGATGTGGTGCTTATACTAATTAATAAGTTCTTTGAACTTCATCGCGCGCGTAATTGAAATTACAAAACAAAGTACATCCAAATTTCTTCATTGCTTACTCTGACTTAAGTGCTAGTCTGTTTGTGACTATTAAAGTACACATCGAATAATCCTGGGAATAAGTGGTCATCAAACCGAATTCTACTAACTTCCCCAATCATAATTAGATGTAGAGAAAGCTAAGTTGCCCTACTAAAAAAGTGATAACCACAGTACATCAAATAAAATATTTAGAATCTGCCCCGTTACTCGAAGAATCTTCATGGTAAGAGCTAGGAGCCTTCAAAAGATCTAAAGGCAACACTCTCCTGAAAAACAGAAAAAATGAACATACAGACGTGGAATGTCCAAACAATATGGGAGGTCGTGAGGATCATTCTCATGGCCGAAAAAATGAAAACACACAGAACACGTGAAACTAACTGAACATATTTTGGACAGGAAAAATAACTTCAGAAGACTTGCTATTATATTCCGGTCATCGGGACGAAAATACCACTCATATACACATGAGAAGTACACTGATACTGTCCAGAGAAGAAAACAAAGCACTCATAGCCTAACGATCATAAAAGTATCCCTCAGAACAAAGAGAGAGTGGCCAACAACGAATGCCATACTATGCTGCACACCCACCAGTCACAGCAGTGGAGACGATAAAGATCAGTTTTGTAGGAGGCTTCAGTCGATCGTAGAGAAATGCTCAGAAAAGGAGCTGAACGTCCCGATGGAAGACCTAAACATCAGAGTCGGATTGACAACACAGGGTATGAAGACACTGTAGGGATACATGTACTGGGAGAAAGGAACGAGAACAAAGCGAGACAAGAAAATAAGTATGTTTTCAACAACATTGTAAAACTATTCTCCTCCAAAACGCATACACGAAGGTATATGAGTTTCACCAACTCGAAATACATCAGACCACATTGATCACATCTCCATAATTAGAAAGTTCAGAATGTCGTTTTTTTTCCTATCAGTGAGATTTTGTCTGTTATCTCTTTTTCATCTATCATAAACTGTTATCTTCCTTGATTTCTCTGCTTACTTAGGACGATAGAGTAATTTTGAATGGTGTATTATTTTATGTTTCAAGACTAATTAATCTTAAAGATGAATTTTTATCACTTTTTATAATTAGTGAGTTAAATTAAACTAAAGAATTTTTAAGTTTACTATGAACTGATTACTTGAGTGAAATACAAAAGAAAAAAAGGTGAATTTTTGTCAAGTTTGAATAAATATAAATATACCAAGAAAAATGTCTAAATTATTTCACTCAGTCGTCATATTATTTTTTCTATTTTAATTAATTACCAGTAAACTAGCTAGA